TTCTGAGGTTTCTGCTGCTGTTTCGCCTGTTTTATCGCTGTCAGCTCCCTAGAAAAACAGAGTGTTCTACTTTAGGGGTGATTGTGTCCATTGCATGAGTCATGTTGGCCAGGACTTTCGCAGGCACCCCTCCGTCTGAAGCCTCCTGCCCATATTGCCTACTCTTCCCAAGACTCTCCAATCCCGAAGAACATCTTTTGGGTATACAGTGATCTGTAGAGGGAAGGACAACCTGGGAAAGTCCCATCCCTTGAACTCTGTTCTGCCTACCATAGGAAAATTAGAATCCATGCTACTTTTCTCACAGGGATTTCAGATTGTCCTCTACAAGGGTTAGCTGGGCTAATGTCAGAACACTTCACATATTTGGAATATGAGAAGGCTCTTCTTGCGATACTGTGTTTTTAAGCACATGTTCGGTCAAAGGGTTATGGCTATGAAGGATTTCCTCAGGTGTATGTTTTTAGAACAGTGATAATATTTCTTCCTCTGGAAGTTGCCCCACAGATAGATTCTGATAATCCAGCCTCATGATCAAGTGGTCATAACTCAAAACCTTGCCTAATTCATTTGCTAGGAATCCTGTACCTTCCTAAAGGGGATAACATCTGTCAGCTGGTTATTACAAAAGTCACAAATGTTGATTTAAAACAAAGAACAAACAAACTGTTGCAAGTTTGTGCACTGATGACGAAAACAGGCTGTGTCCTCTGTAACATGGACTCCAAAACCTTTGCCTTAGGGAAGGCACACAAGCACAAAAGTGAATTGGCCAAATAAACAAATTGGTCAGATAACCTGCCTTTCTGTTTAATAAAGGGCACTCAAAATGGTTCACATAATTTGGACTGCAGCTCTCAAACTCCAACCATCATGGATAATAGGTTACAGGATCTGTGGTGCATCAAGCTGGCTTAAGGAACCAGACAATGGGCAGCCTGACTGCAAGTTTATCAGTTTATAGTGCAATCCAACACATGTCTATTTGGAAGTAAGTTTCATTAAGTTCAGTGAGACTTACGCCCAGGTAAGTGTGTATATGAGGCAGCCTATGTTTGTGGTTCAAAAGAGTGGAGACATCAAGGCCCAGTTTAAATGGAATGACAATTCAGGGTTAGCATGAGCAGCCAGAACATGGCAGCTTGATCACAGGCTCTTAACGTCTCTTGCTTGCAGGAGATGAGAGACAAACCAGGGTTGCTCTCTCCCTGGCATGGTTAGCATTACAGTCAAACTGGGAAATTTATTGGTTATTAAAAGCTTTTCTATACTGTCCTCCACCGAGTCCCAAGATGGTAATACAATAAAGCACAGCATAAAACATCAATTTAACAACAAATAAAACCCATCATAAAATGGCTTGTCTCTTCCCTGACAAGTCAGAGTTGTTACCTAGCGTTTATTTTTTAGGTAGCAGAAAGGAGATTGCTTCTTTGTTTTTGGCCTCTGTTTATGCTGTCCCTCAAATGCCAAATTAGACATTGACTGGGTTTGCTTAACACGCTAAGTCACAATGATTGCAAAGCCACAGTGGCTTAGCATGTTGTCCTAACCAATGCAATGCCTGAATGACATATAAACCACCCCTACAACAAACACTTGCTATAGAGATTGCTTAACCCTACCTAGTTTTTTGAATCCTCGAATCCTGATGATACAAAAGTCACAGTTGACCAGAAAACATACCGAGTGGCTTGGCCACAGCAACAGAAAGGCTAGCACGTGACAGTCTTTGCCAACCACTGCCCGTCTGCCCCCTGTGCCACTTGGACACCTCTTTGGTTTTCTTGTCCCTACCTCAATCACAAACCTTTTCAGTCCTGCCTTGGCCTTTTTCCTCCCAGAAAATGTAAAAAAAGAGAGATTTACATCATGAAAGTGGGTTATTAAACCCTGCTTTGTGATCTTCATGGAGGCAGGACCTCCAGCAGTGCCTTGGAGGGGCTTTCTGTGTGTCAGCTCCCCCCCCCCCCCAGTGTTCCACTTGTGTAAAAACTGTTCCGCATAGATGTTTTTTCCCAAACTGCCCTGTCTGCTAAACACAGCAGGTAGCGGGGAACTCTAGTAGTACTGCCCAGAGTTGTTGGCCAGAACCATCAGTCCCCTGCCCCTCCAGTGCCCAGTACAGGCTGCAGGTGAGTATTTTCCCCCCATTTACTTTGCAAGGATCTGCCAAATTGGGGAGCTCAAGTGCCCTTTGCAAAAGGGTGCTATTTTCATGCTCCCTGCAGCATGATCTGGTTCTTGGATGGAGACTTGGTGTCCCTATCTGCCCCGCCCCCCGCCCAGTTTTGCAAGTGTTCCCCTGCCGTTAGCATGGCAGGGAGTATTCAAATCTGGTGTGCAATCCCCGTGACAGGAGGTCAGGCTTTGCTCGGCATATGTCAACTGTACCTTCCTCATGGGATTTTCCCTATGTTATGGCTTTCCTTGAGATGCTAAGAACTCAGGATCGATGGCAAAACAGAGGAGACACTTTGGACTTGCAATCGTTCTATAAGCCTTCTCAAAGGGGAGAGACTTGCATGTGTTTTCCCCCTCAAAACAAACAAACAACAAAACCCTTTTTGGCCTGGCCTTTCTTTTGTTTTGGGGCAGCCTGTGCATCTGGATTATCTACATTTGGAAAATGGGGCATTCCAGACTCACATAAGCATCTGCTCCAGAAGAAGATTCAGCTGTCTGGATGCTTTCCCCACAAGCCTGGGGCTGCCTTCACAATCAGGAGGAGTGCCACCTACTGTCCGGGTGAGTGGGTAGGCTAACAGTTATCCCCAACAGCAGGCTTTTATTTTGTCTGATGAGGAAAAAAATGTGCCTGCCCACCCCTCTCTACACTTGTTCTTCCCTTAGATGTGAGAAAATGTGATTCAGATGCATCTAGTAGATTTACCTTCACTGTTATGAAAGCTTTCATATTTTCCAGAATGCAGTTTGTCATTGCTGTTGGCCATTACTGATGGGTAACACAGAAATATTTGTCTTCCAATGTTGTGTGCTGTGGAAGAGTCAGGCTTTGGCTTACACTCTGAGAAAGTTTGCTGCATGCTTCTCCATCAGTTTCTGAAGAAGTGATTTTCTTGATTGCAGTTTCAAAAACTTGGCTTCTTTTTGGCAAATCTAATCAACGTGTTTGATCAGTGCCCAGCTCTATATTATCTTGAAGCAGAAGTTATCAAAGAGTTCTGGGGGGTTGGGGAGAGGTGTTCCTGATGATAGCGGAGGTCCCCAGCTTTTGTGGGCTGCTCGGCCCCTTTGGAAAGTTGAGTGTTCTGTGGGTGCTCTCACAAAATAGCTTCCACAGTGGGTGCATCCAGTCACAAAACATCCATTTCCCAGAAGAGAAACAGGTGAGACTGAAAGAAGTAATACACCTAAGAAGCTGAATGTAAGGCAGAGCAGAGCCTGAGCTCCAAATCACAAAACCACTTTTTAGAACAGTTTTCTGCCCCAACAGCCATTTCACAGAAGGCAATTTGATGAGGCTCAGGGTCTAGTAATTTGGCCAAGAAACTGAGTGCAAGGCAGAACCACAAATGCTGGATTGCATCCTGCCTGACACAAAGCACAATGGAAGGCAAACCAGTGTCTCTCAGACATGCAAAATGCCAAGCACCCCACACACCTGCACACACAACCCGCCTCCTATATAGCAGGCACCACACATGAAAGCTGTGGATACATGTAGGCCAAGCAGAGTCCACACCAAAATGAGCTAAACAAATAAATTAAAAACAAATCAGGGAACACATATCCCAGCACATCCTTGCCCCAGATAAAAAATCAGGCAACACGTGAGGACACAGCATGAGCTAAACCATGTGGCTCATGTGAGGTGCAGAGACACTACTGAAAACAAAGGCGGTGTTTGTAGCACATCAGCCTCCTAGCATTTTTAAGACCGAAAAAGTCCAGAACAACTTGGGGCAGGGAGCCTGGTGGGCATCATAAAGAAAAGTACCTGCAGGCATAGCTCACAGACATCATATTGGAGAGATACTGGAAATGTTGGCATGATGCTTTTAGCTTTGCCATGCTGTGGCTTTTATTGATATGAAATGTGTATATCTAGGCCATTTTATTTGTCATGGCTTACAGCTAATGGTCAAAGGGGAAGCTGTTCAGTTACCTACCTAGGTGTGAGAAAATAAATGCATGCACTCAAGGGTTGGCTATTCATATTGGAGCTAAACCTGGTAATTGTGCATGTGTCTGTGGAAAGCTCCAATGTGTGCTGGACTGCAACCTGTTTAGTTTGACTCTCAGAATTTAATGGGGCTATTGAGAACCAAGCTAGCTTTGGATTCTGTTCCTTTATCACACAGATCAAAGGTTACTACCAGACCATCTAGTGAGGCAAAAATGCTGGACAAGGTGGGCTTTGGCCTAATCCAGTATGACCCTTGCTAGGCCCTTGGGCAAAGAGTGCATACTTAAAACATGAATTAATTCATTAAAAAACAAACAAAGAGATCATGAAAAACTGAAGCCCATCCATCCCTGCACCCAAGTGGGAATGTCAATCAGGAACTTGGGAACTGGCCAGAACAGGAAATGATTAGTGGGTTTTCAGTCTAATAGGAGCTATTTCATCTAATATGTGTCTGTTGAAAAATGTCTCTGATCAGCATGACTGGCATAATTCTGACTTCTTTGCCTTTTAATTTCACAGTTTACAGCTAGTGTATTGCAGGTGGGGGACGGGGGGATCACTGCCAGCTCCCTGCAGTTCCAGCTGCTCACCAATAGTGGGAGCGTTCACACTTGGTCCACTGCAGCCTACCTAAGGTGTGCATCTCTCCAAGAACAGCTAGACACTCCTCTGAGGAGGAGCAGACAGGGTGGGTCTAGCTGAAGCCTTTTAATGCAAGAATGAATGAAAAGGCAAAGCAAAGGCTGCAAAGTTGAGTCAGCAGACCAACTCATCCTCAAACTTTGCTTTCATATATATTGTATAGCTTTTATATTCACCATAACAAAATCTTGCCATTTTCCCCAAGATGGCAAGAATTTTGACAACTTGCAAAATGGTGAAAACTTTGAGAGGGGGTTTTCGTGTTTTTCATAGGGCTGTTCAGCATAACCAATATTTTTCAACAATTGGTATCCGATCACTGAGTATGAAGGTAATTACAATTTTCATTAACTGTCTGGTTAACTCTCTCTCTCTCTCTCTCTCTCTCTCTTTGTGTGTGTGTAAGTGTAAGAAGCTGAGGAACTATTGTTTGCAGAAAACTTTGCCATATACAAGCAAATTTCTGAACTAAAATAGGTTCTAAGTTTTAACTTATTATGGTCTGTTGTCTGCAGGATGTATTGACTTAGTTAATACTTGTGTGTACCCTGAGTTATAAACTATAGGATAAATTCCTTAGGAAGGTGAAGGTCACAAACCTTGTTAAAATATACAGAGGTCTTCAAATAAGCCAAGGATTGGTGAAATAACAGTTCTTTGCTTTATAGGCATGCAAGACCTGATTGTTTAATCTTAAAACTGTTCTTACCTTATAGCCCAGCCATGTTGTTATCAGGGATATTGCTTCATTTCACATGTGTGAGACTTTAGCTATACCTATTATGATGAATTTACACACCATTCTATCAACTGGCTTACTGAGAAACAGCATTGGAAGGATGCTTGCTGGTGGAGGCTGGCTGATGGCCCTTTGGTGTTATGCTCAGTTTAAAGGGACAGGGTTGATGGTTCCAGGATGTAGGGACAGTTGCGAAAGCTATAGCCCCATCTTCCCATATATGAAAATATATGGCGTAGCTATGTCCAACCTGAAGTACTGAATGCCAGTGGATCACATATGGGGCTTGAACTATTCCCAATTTCTCATGTGTTAAATGTGTGACTGCTCTTTGAGTCTCATAAGAGAGAATGCTCCTCCTTACCATAGAGAAATAGAATACACTTTCTGTTATTTGTTGCATTTTGATCTTTTCCTCTAGGGAGCTTGGAGCAGTGCACATACTTACTCCTCCATATTTGAAGTAGGCTAGGCTGAGTCTGTTTGACTAACTTAGTCATCCAGGGAGTTTTGTGGCCTGATTTGGAATAGTCCAACACTCTGACTGCTGCACTGTACCGGCTTTCCCTGTAATCCCAGTCAAGTCAAGGAACAGGCTAGGCTAGAACTCCTCTCCCATGACATTGCCCATCTTCCTGTATTCATTTACTTGTTGGTTTGGAGAATATTGCATCGTTAGAGCCCCTGTCTACAGTGTGAAACGGAGTAGTTAAGATACAGGTTGATACCTCAGTGAGAATTAGCTATGGACACTCTTCTCACACCTCCTTTGCACAATGAGAAAGATAGTGAGTTATAGTGAAGAACTGCCCTGGGAAAATCTGGTATTCAATGTATGTTTTAACTGTGGCTGCATTCAAATCTTTTGCACCCAGATTTTTTGAGGGGATGCTGTGATTCGGCCAGTAAGAGTAGATGAATACTGATTTGTATTGACTTAAAATGTCAACTCTGATTCAAACAAAAATCTGGAAAAAAGGTGATTCTTTGAATTCACCTATATTTATGCAGTGATTCATGTCCCTATATTTCACCCCTCTTGGCAAAAAAACCCACACACTTCTGAAGGGTCAGGCATTCAGAGTTGAGAAAGGGTGAATAGCCTTGTCCTCCGCTATGAGATGGGGTTTGACAGCTGCACCAACCAGCTTTTGCCTTCAAGAGACATACTGCTCGGCTTCAGAATCATACACACAGTTGTAAAGCGGTGGTAAAATTAACATGCTTTACTAGGATTTATTTATCTGTCACAGACTACAGTCAGAGGAAGGGGAATTGCCAATATATCTGTCTTAGTTGCAGGGAATTGATGGAAATGGTGGAAGAAGCACACCTCCTGACTGCATGCGTTTTCGATTTTCCTGCTTATTTCTCAGATTCCCTCTATAAGTTGCCTATCTGCTGCTGAGTGGCATGTCCTAAGCCTTTTCTCTTACTATAAAGCATCAAGCCAGTGTGGGTAATGTCTGGGACAAACAAGGACACCTTGTAATCTCCAATGGTTGGGAGCGACAGATCAGCATTTGCTCTGGTCCACCCTCCAGGCACAACATACACCCTTACCTGCATATGTTTTACTCATGTGGTCTCATGTACGCCTCTGCTACACATTTGTGCATGGCATATTGACACAAACCGATGGTTGGCGAGGGTGGCCAGGTAGAAGCAGGCAGTCTCATTGCTCTTCCCTTCCATCCACATACTACATACACCTATGTAGGCTCATGAGATGGGGCGGCATATAGGTTGTTTAAATGAATGAATGAATGAATGAATGAACAGATGCACATGCACAGCCATGGTTGGCAGTGGAAATGGTTCAGAGGGAAGGAATCCTTCCTTTGCCCACCCCCAAACTCTTTCCACGTATGACCATGTGTGGAAACACCCACACCCATGGGGCTCTTTCCTCTTCTTGTTGGTCATCTTCCCTCCCATGCCCATTTTATCTTCCTGGGGAAGTAAGGCAAAGAGAGAAGCCTAGCAGGCATTCTTAGCAGAGTGGCCAAGGGTCACATGCAGGATCAGCAGAGGCACCAGCCCAACCTACCCTCCCATTTATCAGGGCTTAAGAAATGATACCTAGACAACGGTTGCCGCTGTTGGGGGACAGTGTCTCCAAAACTTCCTGCAATCTTTCTGTAACAGGCCATCTCTAACCCACCAGGGCTTTTCCTGCCCGTTCTCATTTGTCCACTCATGAACAAACTCCATTTAGAAATAAGATATAAATGGTACAAGCATAGCTTCACAATTTGTTCTGAAATGCATTTATTTGAAACATCCTTTTTTTGGAAACATCCCAGCTCCCCTTTCAACAAATTAAGTAAAATATTCATTTAATTTTAAATATTCCTTTTTGATATTTGTTTACATTGTTTTCCTTTTGAAAAAAATTGTGTTTGATGTTTGTGGCACATATTTGCTATTTAAATAGTAATTGTCTTTTCATAAGGAACATCTTTTTTCTTTGCTTTACTACATTTTGGTTTTTTTAGTTTGCATTACTTTCTGCATGTAAAAATTGTATTAAATGTATACCAACTTTAAACATGTTTTAAAATCCAGATATTTAAAATACTAATGTGGAAAAGTTTTTCATGCATTCTTTTTCTTTCCTTCTCTTGGAGGACATCATAGGTTTCAAGTTATTGTGTTAATTTCTTCCGGTGCTTCTACTTCCTTCTTAAACATATTAAGCAAAGAAGATTCAGATTCAACATGATGGATCATGACCTTCCTGTAAATGTTTCTATTTTTTCAATAAACTTTTCTTTATTTTCTTTTATTAGGCCATTCCATTTAAAAATGCAGATTGTATATTGTTAATATATGTATTATATCCTGGAAAGTCTCTTGCTCAGTCCTTCCAAGATGGTACGTTAACGTTCCAGTTCCTTGGGGAAATTTTTGTTTTCTTGATTGCGTTTTAACCCTCCTTTATTCCTTTGTTTCCTTCCTCATTCCAGCATATTTTAAACATTGCTACTTTTCCTTTTATTTTCATTTTCAGATTCTCAGCTTATTCAGATTAGCTTGTTCTTTTCTCTTATAGTTCAGTCAAGAGCTATTCTTGCAGCTGATTTACCATTTTCCTATGTTAAGATTTATTCTGTTGTGTAAGTTACTGTGAATATGTTGCTTTTCCTCATCGCTTTTTAAAAAGTGCAGTTCTATGATCTGATGGGATGCCATGGTATATTTTCAATCACTGTCCCAGTAGAAAGTCTCTCTTTGTTTCAGAGTCTAATAATGTAAGCTACTGTGTTTCCCTGAAAATGACTGGGTCTTATATTAATTTTTGCTCAAAAAGATGCACTAGGGCTTATTTTCCAGTGATGTCTTATTTTTTCATGTACAACAACCTACATTTATTCATGTACAAAAATCTACATTTATTCAAATACAGTCATGTCATCTTCTTCTGGAACATTGTCATAACTCTCCAAACCCTGAATTATGTTGCAACAGACGTACTAAATGCATCCATCTGGCTGGTCTTAACTGGGGCTTGTTATGGGGGTAGGGCTTATATTATGAGCATCCTGAAAAATCATGCTAGGGCTTATTTACTGGCTAGGTCTTATTTTCAGGGAAACAGGGTATTTCTTTCCACCCAGAAAGTACTTTGTAACTTCAGTTTCCCTTACCCCCTTTTCCAAGTTTTATAGGTGCTGGTTATAACTTTGGTGATATATTGCCTATCTTTGACCAGTTTCACCAAAATGAGGCCACCCAGTGGTTAAGCTACATTCTGTCTCTTGACTGGCAACATAAGGATTGTTTGTTACATCTTTTGATCTGTGCTTTTTTTTTTTTTTTTTTAGTATAGCTTGACTATTGGTTTGCTTTAGATACTGGTGGAAACTTGGAGGATAAAGACAGCAAATATATAGCAGTAGGCTTGTTCCTAAATGAATATGCAAACTTGGTCTGTATCACTGAGACTTGGCTGGATGAGACCAGGGGAATATATCTCTTCTAGCTTTGGCTAGAAAGTGAAGAGGAACTAAAGAGCCTCTTGATGCGGGTGAAGGAGGAGAGCGCAAAAGCTGGCTTGAAACTCAACATTAAGAAAATTAAGAGCATGGCATCCAGTCCTCTCACTTCCTGGCAAATAGATGGGGAAGAAATGGAGGTAGTGACAGATTTTATTTTCCTGGGCTCCAAAATCACCACAGACGGGGACTGCAGCCAAGAAATTAAAAGACGCTTGCTGCTTGGGAGGAAAGCTATGGGAAATCTAGACAGCATACTAAAAAACAGAGACATCACCCTGCTAACAAAAGTGCATATAGTCAAGGCTATGGTTTTCCAAGTTGCAATGTATGGCTGTGAAAGTTGGACCATAAGGAAGGCTGAGAGCTGAAGAACTGAGGCCTTTGAACTGTGGTGCTGGAGGAGACTCCTGCGAGTCCCTTGGACTGCAAGGCGATCAAACCAGTCAGTCCTACAGGAGATCAACCCTGACTGCTCTTTAGAAGGCCAGATACTGAAGATGAAACTCAAATACTTTGGCCATCTAATGAGAAGGGAAGGACTCATTGCAGAAGAGCCTAATGCTGGGAACAATTGGCGGGAAAAGAAGAAGG